AAAGGACTTATTAACTTATGAATGTTGGAAAAAGAGTTTTTAATAAAATGTTTGGATTAATTTTTATGGTGGGAAAAGTCAATAAGTTGTTTTTTTTTTTTTAAAAAAAATTGGCTTAACTTATATAAGCAAGGGTATAGGATTAGGGTAAAGTTGTATTATGTATGTTTTTTATCCTAATAAGTTATAAGGCTGGGGGAGCGGTGTCACCGAAACCGCACTCCCTTCGCTGCCATATATACGCCACATTATTTTTTAACACACACATCCAAAGAGTGGTGCCACATTATTTTTTTAATATTGTTGTTTGAGCAAGAAAAAATATTAGTTGTTTTAAGGGAATGAAATATTCTTAATAAATTAGATAATATAAAATAGTATTTGGGACCATGCTAAATAAAATAAAATATATTATGTTTTTTAATGGGCATATATTCGCATATTCGAGGGCCTTTGTAGAAAATTTAATTTAAATAAAAACTTCAAGTTTAAATAAAAGCTTCAATATTAATAAAAAAAATCCTTGTTTCATTACTTGAGCAAATATAGACCCAAAAAAATTAAATATTTATCATATTTTATTCATTATTTTGAAAAAATACAAATTAAAAAAAATACAAAAAATAAAGACTCATTGATTTATTTAATTTATTGGTTTTTTAGCCCAATACAAGTTTAAACCAACCCAAAGAAATAACCCAAAAGAGAGTTTAGAAAGAAACGAGAGAGTGCGATAGTAAATAACCCTGGAAGGAGGGAGTGCGGTTCGAACCGCATACAAGAGACGGTGTGGGACATGCTGAGGTGGTCAAACCACGATTCTAACTGCACCCACTCCGATCTAAGTCATTTCAAAAAATCATAGATTTTTACTTTTTAAAAATTTATTTTCAAAAGGTAAACAAAAAGTTATTTTGAAAGTTCTTATTAAATATTCAAATATATATTATATTTTTAATTTATTGACCTTTTAATAAATTAATAAACTATTTTTAAATAAAACCCAAACAACATATTATTAAATAAAAGTGAAATAGAAAAGTAAGTAAGTAACACCCTTTTATTATTTGAATTGAAATAGAAAAGGGCAATTTCTTTATTAGTTTTGACTCCTGATTGACAAAGTTGCTAGGTGCAATTTGGCGTGTCCTCCGGTTGACTAGCCCTAAAATACTTTGCAACTCTCAATCTCCAAGTCTTGTACTCTCGTACTATTCCTTTTGCTGCGATCACTCTAGTCATGGAGCCAGCTGAGTCTCCGTTTAGGGTAATGTTCTTCTTTTCCCCTTCTCATTTTTATCAATTAATTATTCAATTTGCTTAGGGTTTTTTTCGATACAGTTTGCATTCCGATTCCTGTTACTTCCCCTAAATTTACTCCAATCTTATGGACGTTCTAGAACTTGATTATAGCGTTTCGAAGCATCATTTTTTTCGGGTAGTTGTTGAAGATGGCATGAATTTTCAGTACTGGCTTTGATAGCATAAATGATTCTGATGCTCTGCAGATAATCCTGGGATCGTCTTCCATTGCCCGTCGGAAAATATTAGCTGAAATGGGATACGAGTTCGCACTCATGGTATTGTTTGTTCATGTTACACACACGTATCACATATATCGATATCTGTGTGCATATAGAAGGTCAATTGTTCAACTCTTTTCCACTATTTAGTCTGCAGATATAGATGAGAAAAGTATCAGAACTGAAAAGCCAGAGGAGTTGGTGATGGCTCTAGCAAAGGCAAAGGTAGGTTATTGTTTGAACACCATTACAATGACATATTGTTGTTATATGTATCTTCAAATCCAGTCCTTTTATTATAAATTCTCATGTGATGTAACAGGCTGATGCCATTGTGTCCAAGCTTCAAACAAGCGATGATCAGAAGAAGGACGTGATACCAAGTATTCTAATAGCATCCGATACAGTATGTTTTTCTCTCAAACATAATCACCTGAAAGTATTAAAGTCCTCCATTCACCTCTTGCCTTATTTTTCTATGATAAACTGCATTTTCAAGTTTATAGAGCTATAGTTTTGTAATAAGCTATGTTGCTTATTTGTTGGGGATATTATCATATATTCTAAATTTCAGTTTATTGTTCTTCATTTGTGTTAATTAATAGTTGTTATTAGGCAGAAGGTAAACCAAAGCTCCATAGTGGTGAAGACAAGGATGCTGAGCCAACACTACTAATTACTTGTGACCAAGTATAAATCAATTCCCTATTTTCCTTATGCTTCAAATGTTATTACATGTTCAAATGAAGCAATATGAAGGGACATCAATTATCCATATGTACCTATTTATTTATTCTACAAACCCAATGAATTAATATGCAAAGTTTGAATCCCTCTATCCAAAAATGTTAGATTAATGCATAAACTATCAAGTGTGCATTGCTATTAGCTGTTGATGCCTAGTAGAATTTTTTGAAAGAATGTTTTGGTAAAATAATCATTATTTATAGGTGGTGGTCTATGATGGCACAATAAGGGAAAAACCCTCGAGTGAAGAAGAAGCACGCCAATTTATTAAAGGTTTTGATTTTTCTTATTATTTGAATTTTATGTTTTTCTTGGTTTTTTGTGGTTCTTATAAGCAGTGATGACAGATTATTCTGGCAAGCATGCAGCCACTCTTAGCTCTGTTTTTGTTACAAATCTCAAGACTGGATTCTCAAAAGTGGATTGTGACAAAGCAGAGGTACTATTTATTTTATAAATTAATGCATGTTTTTTTAATTTTTATAGTATCTTAATTAGTCATAAAATCATTCCTTAATGTGAAGATATTTTTTAATGGTTGCAGATTTATTTCCATGAAATACCTGATGATGTTGTTGAGAAGCTGGTAAAAGAACATGAATTTCTTGTTTTTAAATTATTAATTGGGTTTTTATAATATATATATATATATATATATATATATATATATATATATATATATATATATATTTGTGTTGCCTCTGTTTTTAACAGATTGAGGAGGGGCTTGTGCTTAGGGTTGCTGGGGCGTTGATAATTGAACATCCATTGGTTGCTCCATATGTTAAAAATCTGGTTTGTCTCACCTCAATTGACCAAAAAAAAAAAAAGATAATGATTGTTATAAAAAGTATTGTTTATGATATTGAGAATGGTGTGTGTGTGCAGATAGGGACAAGTGATAGTGTAATGGGACTTCCTAAAGCTCTCACTGAGAAGTTACTAAAGGAGGCTGTGAATTCATGAGGATATTAGCAAAATTTTGACATGATTGATTATATGAGACATTCCTCCATGGATGACCATATAATTCCAGACAAGAAATCAGGGCTGTATTGTAATGATTCTATATATGATGTGGTGTACCTGTACTTAATGGTGATTGGTGAAAACTTTCTATTCAAACATTGTTGTTTGTTTGATGATGGCATATGCACATGGATTGAAAGATTTATCTGAAGGAAGTATGGTTTTTTCTATACCAAATTTGATGAGATGAATGGTATAATACTAAATATGGGGTTATATACTGTTTATTAACACCAGATTTGGTGTGTATGCATTTGTGTTTTATAATTTTTAGATTATTTTTAATTGTTTGAAGCTTGAGTTTTTGTATTTCGAGATAATACAACTGTATAGTTGTATTTTAAATGTAATAGAAATGAAGGAGATCCCAACAAAAAAGTGTTGGGCCATTTAAATGTAATAGGCGTTTCTTACTCACAAGCCTGACATGCTAATTGTTATTCCTTGGAACTTTTGTTGGGGACATTGGAAAAGCCATTTGCACAACTTCACTTTTATTGTCGCAATGCTAATGAATGCACCATAACACACATCAAGATGGACGGGTTCTTCTTTTCTGTCATTGATTGTGTGTTGAGATTCAATTTCATTACAACATATAGCATCAAATGTTTCTTCACAATTGACTTTTTTTTACCACATCTCATTGCAGCTTTAGATGTTTGCTGGTTAATCCTCGTAGATGTTGCTCTCAAAGAGAAATACTTGGGAAGTGGGAACCATGCTCATGTTCCTTGCAGTAGTCATGGGTGGATAGAATGAAATCTTTCCCCTAGCATATGTCGTGGGCAAGATAGAGAGTGGGGTTTTGTCAAAGCTCCATTCAACAAAGACTTAGAAGACTTAGCATTAGCAATCACATTAGATGAGATTCAATCCATTGAACAAGCAGTTGGGCTCACTTGGGCTGCTCGGGCATGTATTCCCAAACTTTCTTGTTGGCATTTGCTAATAATTATCATTCGAAATGCGGGATCAATATTCTATTTAATAATTGTTGTAGACCATGTTTTGCAGGATTATTGAGATTGTCACAAAGATCTTCTCCCAAACAGTTTTTTTTTTTTTTTTTTTTTCGAGATTAGAATCCAATGATCTAAAATCGTTCAAATATTTTGATAATAACCAAAATTTTCATATGAACCTAACTCTATATATACCAGAATAATACATAAGAAGATCCTCAAAAGATGGTATTTTTCAAGATGAAATTTTATGAAATACCTTCTTATAAAAGACAGATTATTTATGAATGACATTCCTATAATATATGTATGAACAGTGAAAATCTGAAATGCTAAAGGTATGGAAATCTTATTTGATAAACATAAGGTGAAGTCTTTATTTATTTATTTTTTGAAAGAGAGGTTAAGTCTTAAAAACCACATGAAAAAGATGATAAACATGTATAAGATTTTTTTAAAAATAAACCCCATGCGAAAGGTATTCAAGTCAAAGGGAGCATATTCATGTGAGCAGGTCAAACAAAATACACAAGTTGAAAATTTTAAGTTTTGTAAGAAAAAAAGAGTCTTTTGTAGGCCTTAAACCAATTTAAAACTTAGCAAGCCTAAAATGCAAGAATTCTAATAAAAAAAAAGTGAATCCCATGACAGATTTAAATTTGTTAAAAAAACTTAGCAAACCTAAATTGCAAGAATTGTAAAAAAAAATGTGAATCCCACGACAAATATTAAATTTGTAATCTAATTTCTAATGCAAACAACCATGAGAAAGTCTGCTGAGTATCATTATTTCACAACATAACATAAGAGTATCTAAAACCTCCAAAAACACACAACACAACAACATATCATCCATCGTCTTGGTTGCATCAACAACCATACTTACTTAACATCATAAACATAAACATCCCAACAAACAGACTTTACTTATTCATCAAACATGAAACTGAAACACATCAGAGAATGTCAGACTCATGAGGCATGAAGTCCTCACTAGGCCTATAGTATTTTGCAGGGGAGTAGAGCCCCAGATTTCCCACCTGACTTGTGTACAGACATGCAAAACGCTCCACCTATCACAATTCACAACCAAAATAACCAATCAATCAATAGAACTAACTTTTTTTTTTTTTAACACAAAACCAAATTATACAACCTAACCACACATGACATGTTTGTTAGAAATATGGTTTAGTGGCACTTGGAAATCTGAGAATCGTGATAATCACTTTCAAATCGAAGTATTTGGGTGGTACTCCCAAATCCGCAATTGGATAAGACTCAGATAAAATCAAAGAGAAAGAAAGAGAGAATGAGATGGTGTAATTTTCGTAAGTACCAGAAAACTGACTAAAAATTGGTTATATACATTCCTTGTCTGAAAAACTGTCAAAACTGTCATATAACAGTTTTTCTCAACAGTCAAAACTGTTATAAATCCGGGTTTGGTATAAGAATTAATGCAAAGTCAAAACCGGGTCCCAGGGGCGCTGCCCCCGGACCCCCGTTCGTTCAGGGGTTTCGCCCTTAAATGACAGTGTACTTTGATACTTGATCAAACTTAAACAAGTGTGTACTCCACACCTTCCCTACTTGTTTAATATTTATCAAGATCATTTTTAGTCAACAAAGTAATCCCATTACACTTAAATAACATTGATGATAACAAATCACCAACAATGTTCATGTTTGATCATAACCGAATGTTTATGTTCAGTTATGAAGATGTGGTTAGGCTGTATGATTTGGTTTTGTGTTGAAACTGTAAGATTAAAAAGAAAAGGTGTGTTAAGTTAAGAAATGACCTGGTGTGCAAAGCGGGAGTTTTGGTACCCTGTTTTCATCAGCTGGCCCCACACCGGATGAAACTGTATTGAATGTATACACACATACATAAATATATAATATATAATAATATATATAGATGTAATACAATTACTTGTTAATTTGTAGTTTACCTTCTGGTGGAAGATCCTTTGAGACTCTTGATGAGCTGCCCGGACACGTGCCCGCTGCCCCTCAAGCACCTCAAGCTTTGCACTGATCTTTTCCTTTTCACCAACATCCAGATTCTCATGCCTGAAACCAAACCAAACAATATAATCACAAAATTTCAACTAAAAATTAAATAAAATAGTAGGTTAGGATATGTTAACGTACTCGAGGGACCACTTTAAATGATGAGTCTGATCTTCAATCTGATCTCTCTCACTCCTAAGCAGTTGCAGTTTCTGCACAAACACAGCATATATAAATAAATAAATATTTAAAAAAAAAAAAAGAGCTTACCTTTCGAGTGTCACGTGAGGATGCCAGAACTTGAACCTCCTTTTCAAGTTCTGGAACAACAAGCATTGTCCTCCAGCCTATCCACCCCAATTAACCACATCACATGTTAATTAATAATTCTATAAATAAAAAACCAAACAAATCCATAGCTATTACCAAGAACTTTTTTGCTGCGTAAGATATCCCCATAGATATGATCTCCAACATAAAGAACCTAACAATAATTTCAATACAATATCTTAATTGTAAATAACTAGAATGATCAAAAATTATTTGAAAACATATGAAGAAAGAGAGGAAAATACAAACACCTGTGAGCTTGAGCCAACATTGAGTAGTTTATGGAGATGTCCCACATTGCCTCCCTGAAAAACCTTGCATTGCTTTGGGATGTGATCTGGCAGATCTAGATCAGGGCACCCCACCTACTCATACATAATTTAAAAAAAAAAAAAAACATTTTACATATGAAGAAGAAACATAAGGGAGTTTACCAAAGGAAAATATTAACCAACCTGAGCAAGTGGAGTGCCATTATCAGTATTGATGAGCTTCCCTGACTCCGTCTCAACAGCAAAAAGATTAGCACGGTTTACATCATGGAAAAACCCTGGTTTCGCACTGCATCAACCATGCAAAATATTTACAGATAAACTTTTTTCTTTTTTTTTTTTGAAAAATATATAGTCAAGTTAAAAGCATGTTGCAGTACATCATTTTTTTTTTCAAAAAAAAAAAAAAAAAAAAAAAAAAGAGAAAGGAAAAAGAAAAACCAGAACCTGCCAGTGATGACAAAGTCAAAATGCTGGAGCCAATCAAGACTTGGAGAGGATTCGCCGTTCTTCGTCTGGGTCCCACAAACAAAATTCATAACAACATTTGTGTAATCCCAGAGGCTGCATTACATGAGTCAAGAAAGGTCAAATGGATATTATTATTATTATTATACCAGTGAAGTTACATATTGAAACATTAAGCTATATTTCACATGTACCAAATATAAGTATTATGAATATAACATTGTATATAGATAATAATTGTTGGATTGTAAATGAGGAATTGCTGATGATATTATTTATATATTATGAAACATCTCGAGGTAAGATAATAAGAAAATGTGCAAGTTCGTATACCTGTTTGTCACCAAGAATACAGCACGACCAGAAGTTTTAATCATTTTGAGCATCGGGACTATTGAGTTGTTCTCATTGATATACCTGATAATTGAAAAACATGTTTAAGGAGATTGAATATACAAAGAAAGCCACTGAAATGCAAAAACATATTTAAGCATTTTGTATTCATTTTAATCTTAGGGGTCTATTATGTAACCTAGCCTCGCTGATGTGTCTTAGCAAGTTGAAAAAGTGTAGTATAATCTTAGTTATTTAGCAGAGACTTGGGTTCCTAATTTATGGAGACTTTATTCTATTATTATTATTATTATTATTATTACCTTTTTGGTATCTTTCTTAACACATGCATAAATAGCTCTATAAATTGACAGGCATAAAAGAAACTTAACAAAACTCATTCACAAAGTTGTTCAATCTTTGGTAAGGGAAGGAACTGATTATCGAACGACTTCAAATCTAATACTTAGTACTTAAAATAGCTGCATTCAATAAATGAGTTTTGGATTCATGTTCGTTCGCCATTAGTCTTTACTCATATAGATATCAGAATATGGTTATACTTAATTCAATATTAGATTGGTTGATTTTTATGTTTTTTATGTTTTATGTATACACACTAATCTAAGACTAATGATTGAAAGAGTAAAAGTGACAACACCTAATATGTTCAAATCTATTTATTTGCAGTTTTCATTAGTTACAATTGGAAAATTGTTCAGCCTTAGAGATGGAAAATTTTTCGTTACTTGTATTTTTGTTTTTTTCTTTAAGAGTCAAAATGATGAGTTAGTAGTGATAAGCACGTGTCCTTCCGTGTTAAGTAGGAACTCGAGCTGGTTTCCACGTGTATACAATAAGCGGTCATTACAGACAGCTGGACACCTCTAGAATTTATAAGCATCACGTCACGTGTGCTTCTGTGTTAAGTAGGAACTCAGACTCATTTCCACGTGTACACAATAAGCGGTCATTACTCATTACAGACAGCTGGAGTGGACACCTCTTTTACATTTTTATAAGCATCACGCATCCTTCTGTGTTAAATAGGCCTTCCACCCCCAACTTTCATTTTCCTCCTAGCCCAGGTAAGCTCCACCTCTGGTAAGTCCCTTTCTTCAGACTCCTTCACTCCTTTCATGTAGAGCACCTTTCACATATATATTGTAGTAGTTTCTCCAATAAATATACACTATTCTATGCTGCTTTGTAGAATTTCATGTAGAGCACCTTTTACACTTCAACTCTTTTTCCTTGCTTGTTCTCTTAAATTTTCTTCATTAGACATCTTCATTTATTTAGTCTTCCCATTTTAGCCCATAAATCTGTATATTTATTGTATAGATAGTCGATTCCTAATATTAAGTGGTAGCGGTATCTACATATATATTACCATCTTTATTTATTTGATATCCTTTGTATGTATATTTATCTTGTTAGAGATTTACAATATCTATTGAGCTATATAGATATTCCGCTGCAGTTATTTGTATGTTAGTTACTTAGTTATTAGAGAGTGTAATTGGTTAAGTAGTGGTACTTGGGAGGAATGGAGTAGGCGTTCTATTGTCTCCGAAGCTGAAAGAAGATGTTGTAATAGGATTATGGTCATGAAGGTAGCATCCGAGGAGGTGCTGAACATTGTGAGTGTGTGCAAAGATTGCAAGGTTGTCATGGATCTACTCATGCCAAGCAAGGGGTTCCAAGCTAAGGTTAAGGTTAAACAAACTCGCTTTAAGAAGTTTTCTGAGTGTAGTAAGGGCAGGGATAGGGGCATAGCATAGGAAAGATATAAGGGAAGCCAAACGAGAGAGAATCAAAGCCAAGGCCATGACATACAAGGAGATGATTGGGCACAAAGGAATCTTCAAGCTAGAAAAGAAAATCCACCCTTAACACTCCTAGCATTAAGTGGTTCATACCATTTAATTACCTCTTATATAGCATTCTCCATCCTAAACATATAATATTCCTGACTACACGTTACAAATTTTTATTTTAACTACTCTGATAAAAGGAAAACTTATAAATACAACTGAAAGGATTAAATCAGTAGGGGTAGAACAAGGATTTTTGTGGTGTTGTGTCACTACAGCAAAAAAAAATAAAAATATGGTAAATAGTTATTGCAAAAAAAAATTCGTTGCAAACACTGGATGTACATGTTTTAAAGCATGTAATGTCATGTGTTGCAACTGTTATGTTGTATTGTGAATGTAAGAATTTTTTATCCCCACAAAAAAATATATCATAAATATTTACTTGACACGTTTTGTTCCATCTTATATTTAAATTTTAAGATCAATTACTTCAATTTCATCCTCAAATTTGGAAAAAAACTGCCTCTGTTAATAATAAGGTCAAATGGATATCACTAGATAGTTTGAGTTCTAAAAATTATCATCAAAGAAAAAGATCTTATGACCATCATAATCCATTTTATAAAATTCTTAACAAAACATATAACGAAAATCAAAACAACTATGAACTGATTTAAACTTCTGATTAATACTGAGCAAAATTTTCAACACTTAAAAGTTCAAAACATGTTATATTTATATATTATGATAATTAGAAAAATTCGCATGCAACGTGACACCATGGACATCACAGACTCGTAGTTCCACCCCTACTGAGAAGAAAACTGTAGTCTTGCAATGTTATAGTCACATAACATAAGCCAAAACCTACTTTTTTAAAACAAAAAAAAAACATAAATTGACAAGTGAAAAACACATACTTTTTTATATCTTTTGCAACCAATGTCTTCAAAGTTCCATCACGGTGGCACATATCAACAGCAGAGCGGACATCGTTATACAGACGGGAGTAGCTGCAACAAATTATTTGAAATGTTAACATATATTGAGATACCATTCCAAATAAAAAACAAGTGTACCCTTTTATTTAGTTCCCTTTTCAACACAAAAACAATGATTTTCAGATGTATTACCATGAATAGCCACATACATTCCATATAGAATATACTTTAAACACTTATTTTCAGCTTTCAAATGACAAAACTGAATCTTACCTGTATACTGTCATTTGTACATACTTTATTGTTGAATTTTACTTTTAACTCTTATTTTCTCAAAATTTTCTTTCGGACTTCTGTTTATTAACATAAGATATCTCAAAACTGAAAAGATTATTTGCCTTTAATGTGATTAAACAGAAACATTAACAAGTTGCAACTGAAGAACGGAAACCAAAAGAAAGAACACATTCACAGGAAGATAGCATGTGAAAATAAAAGAGATAAATGCAAGAAAAAACATCGTACTTTCATTTACTTGTATTATAACATCTTACTTCCATTTTTTTTCTGTTACAGCATTGTACTTTCAATTTTTTTTTCTTATTACTTCCATTTTTTTTTCTTATTAGGACATCATACTTCAAAACTATACCTAATTATGGCAGTGAAAATTTCTTAGTATTTGCATAATATTGCTATAATTGGGTAGAACTATCAATATACAAATATGCAATGACAATAAATGAAAGTAGAATGCTATAATATAGAAACCAATGAAAGTACGTTGCTATATTTTGCAATTAAGCCGATATAGAAATGCACGTACATATGTCAAAAAGATTTACGGTCTGATATAGAAATGGTAATACAAACATACAAAATGCGTCTTTTTTAAAAGGAGTATTTTGTTATCAAGGTCATCTAAGTAGAAATAATCATCACATTACAGAAGAGAACTTCAATCAACCTCAAAATTAGAAGTCCACTTCAAATTTGGAAAATCAGCCTAGTGTTTTTTTTTTTTTGTTTAAATTCTGAATCTACATTTGTAGATATGCTGTTCCAAAAAGATTCTTTTGTAACACCTTTTATAGATTATATGTGGTTATCAATTATATTAATTACAACCAAATTATTCTTACAAGTTACCATACTTGAATTTGAAAAGCAAGAGTTAATTGTTAATACAAGAAAGTTAATACCAATCAAGTGAATCCCACAACATATTTAATGAATGTTTTTAAGCCAATTACAACTACAGCATCAAGCAGATACTGGAAATATGTTTAGTTGGTTAGATTTGCAATTAAGAAAATAAAAAAGTTTTAAGTTATCTGCACCCCTTACTCTTTTTCTTCTGGTATTTTCCCAGGGTTATTATCCTTGAAGTCAACCAGCTGAGCAAATAGATAAGCTTCAGCTAGAGAGAAAAGGGTATCAATATGTGCATAGTCAGGCCCATCAAATGCATCTCGGACAAAGCTATTCCCATATGTAGCAACCTTTTCATTCTTTGATATCAGCCTAAATCCATGATAGGCTACTTTCACATATTTGTGCCTGTCCATCTGAAACAGATAGGATAACAAAAGAATTAGAAATAGGGAAAAAACAACAATCTAAGGGCGTGTTTGGTTGTGGAATGTTTTCAATTTTCTAGAAAACGTTTTCAGCAAATGGAGCCGAGTTCTCATTTTCAGTTTTCAGTGAAAATTATTAAATAAAAAAAAAAGCGTTTGTTTAAAAGTGGTGGAGTGTTCATTTTCTATTTTAACAAAATTAACAAACGCGTTTGGTTGTGTATTTTCTACCACTATTCATTTTCCAAATTTTGTTACGTCAATCATTACAATATTTAACATATTTGAAAATAAAATGAAACAAAAAGTTAATATAACAATCAACATAAAATTTAATGTGTAATTCAACATGCCAACACCCACACATCTCACCCCCACCCCACCCTACCTACACCTACACCACCCCTACCCACCCACATACCTACATCCACCCACCCCTACACCATGCACCGATACACACCATCCACCTACACCCACCCACCCCCCCACACACTTAGAAGTGGGTAGGGTGGATGTGGAGATTTGGGTGGGTGTGAGGGTAGCGGTAAGGGTAGGCGTAGGGGTGTGGGAAAATAGGGGGTATAAGGGGGTGAGGTTGGGTGGATGTGGGGATTTGGGATAGGATGGTGGGGTTAGGTGGGTGTGGGGTGGGATAAGAGTAGGGGTAGGGGTAGGTGTGTAGGCAAATGTAGGTATAGGGGTGTGAGGTAGGGGTGGGTGGATGTGGGGATTTGCGATAGGGTAGGGTGGGGTTAGGTGGGTGTGGGGTGGGATGGGAGTGGGGGTAGGGGTGTGGGCAAATGAAGGTAGAGGGGTGTGAGGTGGAGGTGGGGATTTAGGATAGGGTGGGGTTAGGTGGGTGTAGGATTGGATGGGAGTGGGGGGTAGGGGTAGGGGTGTGGATAAATGGAGGTACATAGGTGTGAGGTGGATGTGGGGATTTGGGATAGGGTGGGGTGGGGTTAGGTGTGAGGTGGATGTGGGGATTTAGGATAAGGTGGGGTGGGGTTAGGTGGGTGTGAGGTGGATACGGGGATTTGAGATATGGTGGGGTGGGGTTAGGTGGGTGTGGGGGTGGGGTGGGATGGGAGTGGGGGGTAGGGAAAGGGTGTGGACAAATGGAGGTATAAGGGTGTGAGGTGGATGTATGGATTTGGGATAGGGTGGGTTGGGGTTAGGTGGGTGTGGGGTGGGATGGGAGTGGGGGGTAGGGGTAGGGGTGTGGACAAATGGAGGTATAGGGGTGTGAGGTGGATGTGGGGATTTGGGATAGGGTGGGTGGGTTTAAGTGGGTGTAGGGTGTGATGGGAGTAGAGGTAGGGGCAGGGGTGTGGACAAATAGAGGTATAGCCGTATGAGGTGGGAGTGGGGGTGGGTGGATGTAGGTATTTGGGATAGGGTGGGTGGGTTTAGATGGGAGTGGGGGAAGGCGTAGGGGTGTGGGAAAATGGGGGTATAAGGGGTGTGAAGTGGAGGTGGATGGATGTGAGGATTTAGGATAGTGTAGGGGTGGGGTAGGGTGTTGATGTGCGGGGGGATGAGTTAGGTGGGTGTGGGGTAGGTGGATGTGGGGATTGATGGGTGTGTTTGTGTGTTTGTAAGTGGGGACGAGGGTTTGGGGTTGGGATTGGGTAGGGTGGGGGTTTGGGGTTAGGTGGGTGTGGAGTGGGGTGGGGTATAAGTAGGGTATTGGTGTGGGTGGGTGTTTGTAGGTGGGGGTAGGGGTTGGGTGGATATGCGGTTGGGGTGGGTGTGGGGGTTGGATGGATGTGAGTGTTGATGTTTGTGTAGGAATTACATTTTAGAAAAAAAATTAAAAACATAAAACTTTGGAAAACAATAAAAACCACTTTTTCTAATTTACATACAAGTTGAAAAGTGAAAAAAAAAAAAAAAAAAAAAAATCTTATGAATTTTTTTTTTTGAATACCAAATCAACCAAATACGTTTTCAAAATTTTCATTTTGCTTGGAAATTTTTTCTGAAAAAAACTAGAAACTTTTCTACAACCAAACGTATCCCAAGGCAATCAGTTCAAAATATTCTATTCTCATATCGATGTTATTAGGAATAAAACCTTCAGTATATTTCCTCTCTTTTTATCAAGAACCAGTCCTCTGACCATGTATGTCCAATCAAAAGACCATTTCAGTAACTGCATCAAAAAAAAAAAAAAAGATTCATATTTGAGAACCAAAACCAAAATATTTGTATAAAGCAGGATGAAGATAACAAACCTCTGCAGGGTATCCCAAGTTGCTTACTAGCTTTTCAACTGTACCATCATATGCAAGGGACTCAAAAGTCTCAGCCTTATACTGTGCCAAGGTATAGTCCATATCAAAGCCAACAGCAACTATATTTTTCATATTCACAGCACTGTTACAGAAAATCTGTTTGCCTATGTCAATGTTTTGCCTTCCTTCAGGCGATGACCATAAGCCTGGAAACTGAGCATCTCCACAGCCATTAGTTCCTTGTATCCCTGACATAACTCCATCTGCGCTATTGCCATCCATTTCACAACTTGCTCCTAGTTACAGATCCTGTTTAATAGAACAATAGTTATTATCTTTCTGATGGTTGATGAAAGCAACTTCGCTGAAGAGTATACTAATTGTAAGGATAAGTAAAAACGACACAAAATTCATCAAACCTGGATACAACCAAAAGAGAAAGAAAGAAGAAACATCAACATGCATTTGAAGCAAATTTCAACATTAGACACACGTTAGGCCTAAATTTGAACAAGTAAAGAGAGCATTGTAGTAAAATTGCAAAACAGGAGAACTGAAACCTGGAATCGATTAACTAGCAGGCCAAAATTTCATACCGTCACCTAAAGAAATACGAAATACAAAAAGATAACATGCGCCTAAAGCAAATTCAACAGTAACCGGGTAAAGTATAACAGATTTCAGACATTCAGTTCAGAAATCATAAAAAGTCCTTTCAGATCAAAGAAGAGGAGCACAAAACAGTAGAATTCGAGTAATGTCTATCGAACTAGCACAAAAACTCGAATTATTCACCCGATCAACACAAAAAACCTTGCATGCAAAGTAAAATTCGACACTGAGCCGTACAGAAAGAAGCGAATTCAAAAATTACTAGAAAAAAACACTTCAAAACAGATACAAAATCAGAGCATTTGAAGTAGATCAATAATAATAATAATTCGAACAAACGTTGAGACCTTTTGGCAGTGCAGAAGTTTTGAGAAGGAGAAAAACCTAAATCGGCAATGGAAGAACCAAATTGGGGAAAACTGGAATGCGAAGGGTAGAGAAGAAATAAGCAGATTAAAGAGGTGGGGGTTTTGGGTATACGCATGTTATCACTTGTCTAATAAAGGCATTCTGGGACGGTGGATCAACGTGACAAGTGGAATCCGATATGAGAACACGCAGCATCGTCGTGTCAATTCGTGTTGACGTTCGATTGCAACCTGGCAGCGTTGTTAATGATGATGATGCAAGATACCGCTTCAACAAAATGCGCTTACGCACATCAGTTGGAATTTAGCGAGTAATAGCAGGATTCGTAATTGAAATTTGATGATAGTTCATTTCTGGACGGAACCGGATTCCCCTGAAAACACGCTTCGTTTTCAGGGGAATAGTATGTGAGAAGGGTTTGTGTGAAAATGGCGGGGTGGGACACGTGTATGGGCGGTTGTTCGGAGGACGTTACCACAGTGAGTCGCGGCCGTGGCGGATGATGGTGGTAAGCGGAGGGTGGAGGTGGTTTTATGCTTTTTGCGGGTGGTAGTTTGTTGATGAACTCACGGAGGAGGAGTGAAGCTGGGCGGGGGAAATTGGATTTTTGGATGATATAAAACATTAACCCCTTGTAGTTATCTAGTGTTTCAGTATGGTCCCATGTGATTTGACATATTGACTTTTATGGCCCACGCTTTAAAGCATGTACATTTTTGTCTCACTAAAAGTGGGTACAAGACAATGAAGCACAAATAAGTGCATCCATTGATGCTTGTCCAAATGTAGATGGACTTTAAATGTCCACAACTTGAAAACTTAGAGTTGAAATGTAGACATAATTGTGGTTATATATAAGTACTAGCTCATCATTATAGCAGTAATATTATGTCGCTTTGTAGTGTTAAAAAACATTAAATGAATTTGGCAAAAAAAAAAAAAATTGTACATTTATAAACTAAACAAATCTGGTTATTTGATCAATTTGTTAACCTATCTTAATCAAGCACTTTCAATTCAAAAGAGTCCAAAAACGTTTAAATGTACTTTGTGCAGTTTTTTTTTTTTTTAATCCAAGTCACGTTTCAAATACTTACACTAGCAATATTTATGTGATGAAAAGAGATGGTAATATGTAGATCTTTTTTTTTTTAATATTTTATTATTATTATTATTTTTTAATAGAAATCGAAGGATGTTTCATATGGATATTAAAGTTCAACTTAAATTGCTTGATAAGATCTTTTATATAGACACTATGAAGATAGTTTGTTGCCACTAGAACTGACCACTACAATCATGCACACCATCCTATGCACACCATCATATGTACATTGTGATGGTTGTATGTGGTTGATTGTGGTCATGACAATGTAGGCCGATAACCAATCGTTTTTTTATGTTTTTTTCATTTTTATTCTCTCTCTTCTTTGTCATAAGAGTATAACCGGGACCACATATAGTGGTGTTGCTTGTTAACCTGCAATATACAAGATGGTCTAATAAATAAATCTAATTAATTTCAACTTCATTTAATATCTATATAGACAAGATGGTCTAATAAATAAATCTAATTAATTTCAACTTCATATAATATCTATATAGACAAGAAAATATCTGTGATTTTTCTTTAAAGAAAAAAAAATCATAACAAAAGGAAAATGAAGATACAATTAACACCAGCTTGTTGTTTGTTTATCCGTTATATCTATGTAAAACTTTCTTTTATTTTTTTTATGAGGTTTTTATATTAAAAAAATATAAAAATTTCAAACTAATTCAAATATTAACTTTTTCTCTACTAACTCAATATTGAAAGTTATTTGAGATTTCAAGTGCTACATTTCAATCTTTTTTCAATATGAAGATTCGTCTTTTTATTTTTAATGAGTGCGTAGATTCTTTATATAATATAACACTGATAGTTATTTATTTTTGTTATTTAAAGTTGAATTTTACCTTTTGGGTTTATGTCTTTATGAGGATGAGGATGAAAGAGTGATCTTTTTTTCTTATTTGGATTTTATTTACAAAGGTGAGAATAGGGATGCACACGTTTTTTATCCTTAAATGGTGTTTTTGTCTTTTTATATTTAAGTTCTTTAAAAATCTTGATTTTGTAGCAAAAACGGTTGGGTGTATATTGATCCTAAGACGTCTTATGATGCCTTCAAACATGACTTTTTGTAAATTAGCATGTATTTTTATTTATAATCGAGTTTTATATATTATGAAATCAGTTAATCAAATTGGTATTTTTCAATCACAAATCCTAGAAACATACTATGAACTTCTAAAAATTGTAAACAACTATGACACTATTTACTAATCTGGTTTCGATCTTTTAACATAAAAGAATATATAAAACATAAACTTACAACGAACTTGGTTGCACATATCTAACTTTGGTGGAGCATCATAACAACAAGTACTATATTTGCCATATTTTTATCATGAAGGACTTTAACTTATAATCTACTGAAAATAAGGGGTGTCAAGAAATTATCCTCGAAGGTAGCAAGTTTGTTAACTAAAAACTGCCAGGTTGTCAGGGGCTCGAAGGCCTCTCATCGGAATATACTTGATCCCTTATGTAAATTTGATAATTTAGAGATATTGACAAATTTAACAATTATGAATTATATTTTGTCATAAAATATCCAAAACGTATTTATTTTTAAGCAGGTGGGCCAATTGCAAAATACAAAAGTCCAAAAAGATATCCCCATATTTAAACCAAACATTCGATCATTTCACTCATTTTTCTTCTTTAATTTTACATTACAGTTCTAAACCCTAACGATCTTGAAAACTATTTTCTTTTTTGTTGATCATGCCAAACAAATAATATGTTAAAGAGATGATTTATAAATTTGGAAAATTAGATAAATTCAAAGGAAATGATTTTCTTAGGTGGCAAAAAAAGATGCATTTTCTTTTGAATACTACAAAAAGTTGTGTATGATTTGAGCACCCAAATTCTAGAAGTTATGGATAATGAAAGTTGGAATAAATCCACAAAAGTATTAAGTAGGAGAGTGACGATTACCAATGTCTGGGACACATCTTGAATGAAAAGTCTGATGTCCTTTCGATGTGTACCAGAAAGCGGAATCATCAAAAGAATTGTCGGATCAATTTGGAGCAAAATATATGGCGGAAGATGCTTTAACAAAGAAAATCTTAATATGTAATTTTAATGAACTATAATATGGTTGATTCTTGATTAGTGATGGAGTGGTACAATGAATTGTGCAACTTCCTAAACAATTTGCCCAACACAACATGAAAATGGATAATCCATCTTGGTTTCTAGTGTTAATGATATATTCATTACCCTTATTTTGAAAAGACTTTAAATACATGTTAATACATAAAAAAGAAATGTAAACACTTCAATTAGCCAACCACTTGCAATAAAAGAGTCTATTAGTGCATAAGAGAATGCAAAGCCCAAAGGATGGTGCATTTGCGTGTGTTCACATGGTGGAAGAAAATACTAATTCTAACAAGTATAACACCAAGAACAAGAAACAAAAATTTGGACATCACAATTGCTATGAAAAGAAACCGAAAAAATGGTATGTGGAAGGTCACATAAAGTCGTTCATGTAAAGAAATATTGTCGTGTGAACTTGAACAATACTAGAGCAAGTGGCAGTGCATCGAGATAAGGGTCTACAGACCAGTCTAAACTATAATGTCAAATTTTATGTCATCTTTGTGTGTGTGTGTGTATGTATATTATAATACATGGATAGTGTGTGTGTGTGTGTATATATATATATATATATATATATATATATATATATATATATATATATATATATATAATACATGGATAATTTACAACACCTCACTTCACAAAAGTCTTTATATAAGATCAAAATTTAAGAGGTACAAATCAGGATACATAATGTACATTACTTTATGCATATGTGAAATTACTTTGGAGACATATAAACACGGAGCTCAGATATAGGGCGTGTTCGCGCAAAGCGTTTGGGAGCTTCTAGATTCTAGTGTTTGACAAAACGCTTCGTTTTGAACAGAATGTCTCGTTTGGCACTACAAGCTTTTAACGTTTAGTTTAAACAAAACGCTCCAAATCCAAACGCTACTTCACGTAGCGTTTAACAAAACTCTACTAGCTAGAAGCTACCCGCTACAAGCTACCCACTACCAACTATTTTTGCCGAACATGTCCATAAACATTTGATCACATGGATTTCCAATTGCATATCACACGAATTGCTATCCGTATTTAGAGGCGGTTGATTCATTGTTGCAATCCAACGACA